ATGGTATGATAAGATGAGAGAGGTGTGCAAAGTTGGTGGGGTGCGCCGCTCGCTTGTACGCGCCGCTCGCTTGTACGCGCCGCTCGCTTGTAAAACACGTTATAGTATTCACAGAAAAGTGCGTGGGACCCAATGGCATCGTAGCGAAACGTATTCCGGTGCGCATTTTGTTGCACTACTGCCTTCGCGCAAGTAGTTGTCTTCGCCATGTCGGTGTACAACCCGACGTTATGTCATGTAGTGCGATCAAAAAGAAGAAATTTTCCAAGTAAAACCTGCATATGAGATCTCGTAAAAAGCACTGCAAGAGACACTTGAGCCAATGAGGCAGGTCGGGATAGTCTTGGCAAGCGACGTCATTCCGATTTTCGGTATTCGCATACAGCCATGTGCGATAAGGCCAGGCAGGCATTGTGGGAAACCGCAATAGAATACATCTCTATGATCTTCTCAATCAAGATATCGTTGTGATAGCTACCCGCTGTGATGTATGACAAGGCGCCATCTACAAAAGAATCTGATAAATAATAAATTTGGCAATTTGGCAATTTGGTAAAACTCCATTGTGTATCTATTTGCCCAAAAACTAATATTTGGCCTTGCAGTATGGTGAACTTCCAAACTCTGCCCCTTATAGCACTTTTTGGCCGTGTCGCGTCAGGATTGAACATGCCTTTCGACGCACGGGAGGCAACCATCGACTCCGTTCATCATGCGCTCTACTCTAGGCTGTCAACATGTCGGGAAGTTGTATCTTCATTTCTTGCGAATATCGAAGCTCACAACCACCGGACCAACGCCATCATCACACTAAATCCCAAAGCATTGGCAATCGCCGATGAAATGGACCGGCGGCTCTCAGCTGGCAATGCAACTGGGCCTCTTTTCTGCATTCCAATACTGCTCAAGGACAACTTCGATACAGCAGACATGCCTACTACGGGCGCTAGTCTGGCCTTGGCCCGCTCTCAACCCACAATAGACGCCCCAAGTGTAACGGCATTGAAGAATGCGGGGGCTGTTATTCTAGGCAAGGTCAATCTACACGAACTTGCACTCGAAGGTCTCAGTGTCTCCTCATTCGGAGGCCAGACCATCAACCCCTATGACTCCACTCGGACGCCTGGAGGCAGCTCTGGGGGTACTGGAGCAGCAGTTGCCGCTTCTTTCAGTGTATTAGGCACAGGAACAGACACAGTAAATTCACTTCGCAGTCCAGCGTCTGCCAACTCGTTATGCAGCATTCGTCCTACACGAGGCCTGATTACTCGAACAGGCATTATGCCTATATCATCTACTCACGATGTTATTGGACCTATTGCACGGACTGTCAAGGACGTGGCGACTACACTTACCATAATGGCCTCGATCGGCTATGATCCAGCTGATAAGGCGACTGCCCTCATACCCAGTTCAATCCGCATGCCTGACTATGCTTCTTCCCTTTCCAGCACTTCCCTCAAGGGCCTACGCATTGGGGTACTAAACGGTTTATTTAACCGCTCCAGTTCACCAGAAGTCACGCCCGTAAATAATGCCATGGACTCTGCTATATCACGACTGGAAGCTGAAGGAGTAACAATCGTGCCCATCAACGATACTATCTACAATGCGACCGACATTCAAGCCTCTTGGGACGTCCAACGCTTCGAGTTCCGTGAGCTGATGGACCAGTACCTCCAGCGACCATCACTACAAGGCAAGCACCCCAACACCCTCAACGAACTCTACTCCCGCAAATCCGTCAATGGATCCGGTAGTGAGTTCCTCGTCATCCCAGCCGAGTACGAATACGTCAACACCGCCCTCATCTCATCAATCTCCAACGAAACATACAACGACCGTCAAGCCGGAATCCAAAATCTCACTCTCACCCTTCTCAACACTTTTGCATCGAACGCCCTCGACGCAATAATCTACCCCGCACAGAAAAATCTCGTTGTCAAAATCGGCTCCCCCTCGCAATCCGGACGCAATGGCATCCTAGCCGCTCTCACCGGCACGCCCGTCGTCACAGTGCCAGCAGGTTTCTCAGAGCCAAACGATGAAGCGCCAGTCGGCGTACCAATTGGCATGGAAATCATGGGTAGGCCGTGGGACGAACAGAAGTTGCTGGGTATTGCGTATGCGGTTGAGCAGTTGCTCAGGGCGCGTAGGAGCCCGGAGTGGGCGCGAGAAAAGGTCGAGGTGCCTGAGTATCAGAGTGTACCGGTTATCATGCCAGACAGGGGTAATATATCGGATGCGTATCCGCTTGGTACGTTGGGGTGATGGTACGACATGTCAGATATGTTGAAGACAGTGATGTAGAAACAATGATGTTGCATCTATGTATGTGGATGTCAGGTAGCACGTACAGAAATATTTTATTGCTAAGAAGACTTCTTGAGTTCATCTATTCAGCATGCAATGATGTTGATATACAAAAATCGGCGAAATTTATTTTGTACTACGGAGGTGCCTCACAAAAGTTCTGTCCCACGCTAATCTCGGCGCTTCGGCACAACTCTTCTTGGCGCAAATCTCTCCTTCATGCTGAGTAG